TGCTGTCCCAGTTGTGGACATAGCCCTTAAAAAGCTGGCAGCTTCTGCTTTGCTCCTCTTGGAAGCCAGCTGCCATGCTGGAATGAAGCTCTGGCTATACTGCTGAGTGAGGAGTGCTTACATGTAGAGAAAGCATCTCACAGAAAAGAAAAGAAGAGAAGAGGAAAGGAGAGGAGAAGAGAGTTGAGGAGAGGAGAGGAGAGGAGAGGAGAGGAGAGGAGAGGAGAGGAGACGAGACGAGACGAGAGAAGAGAAAAGAAACCTCAGTCAACAGCCAGTACCAGGAATTTAAATGTGTAAACGAGGCCATTTTGGATGTTCCAGCCCCAGTTGAACTCCTAGTGGAATACAGCCCCATGTATGACCCTTAACCAACATCATGTGGAGTAGAAGAAGAACTGCTCAGTTGGTCTAGATAGCCCTCAGTAGCATGAGAAATAGCAACTCATTGCTGCGTAAGCCATTATATTTGGGGGCAGTTTGTGATGCAACGATAGATAATGAAACAGTCCCCATTACTAGTTAAACTTAAGCTGTGGTTTGGTGCCATGTGGGCTTGGCACACCTGGCTCCCCTGTCTTCCTGAGATCATGGTAGGACACAGATTCAGTGTAGCCATTAACAAGCTCTGCTGCCGAAGTGGTTTCTCTATGTAAATGATGGGAATATTTGAGAATAAAATGCTGATAGTCCACTTAATTTCAGCCATGACCAAAGTATTTAAATGCAACTTTCCTTTAGTGGAGCCAAGTTCTATTTGTTTGCAGTTGGGTTCTGTTTACTCTAGTTAAAGGAAATGCCCAGTCTGCTCTCCCTCAGCTGATATGTCCTCCTGCTAGTTCTGGCCTGAATGACAGGTGTTTAGATAAGGGCTCCCCTCCGAGGCCGGCAACTGGCACAAATCACACATGAAGAAAGATCTATGCTTGTGGTTATGACAGCCCAGAGACAATATGAGATTATTTCCTAAAAGTAGTAAGTTCAAGGGCCCATGAGTAGTACAATTGTTTTATAGCAGGGATTCCCAGCTTCAGCACTGTTGACATTTGAGCTAGATAATTTTTTTGTTGTAGGAGACTATTGTGTGCATTGTAAGATGTTTAGCAGCATCACTGGTCTCTGCCCCCTAGATGCAGGTGTGACAACTGAAAATTTGCAAATGTGTCTGAGATGCGGGGCGGGGATGGCGGGGGGAGAAATCACCCTGGTTGAGAATGCTGCTCTAAGGTGATCCCAGAGACTTCATAAACAGGACACACTCTTGGGATAACCTGAGGAGGTCCTGAGAGTGATGCAGAAGTAGGCCTACTAGAAACTTGAAATGCCAACTTTGCAATTCCACAGTAGCTCTGGGAATACTCAGAACACCAAACATTTGGGCATTAAGTACTAAAGAAAAAAAAATGATACTAGGATGATGATGATGATGATGATGATGATGATGATGATGATGATTTTAAATCTGAGAGAAAGCACTCGTTTTTTTCCAAAAGGGATAGACACATTTCTTCTACTGCTTACTATTTATTCAAGTAACAGAAACAGCGTGCATTCCGGGACTGATTAGATTAGCTGGCTGAAAGAAATACTACCTCTGTTCTCAATTCTCCTCTGTAGCGACAATCTTCCTTGTTGGTATGTTAAGTCCTCATTTCCTACCTTTTCATAGTTTTCACTTTTTTGTAATTATTTCAAAGGAAACATCTTCCTCAATTCCTGTAATGTTAGGGTCATTTGAAAATTGATTTAGGAGTGAGTAACTGAGTTACTTTTCCTTGACTCATTGACTAGAGTATCCAACACTTGTTTCTTCCCTCAAGAAGAAACACTTGAGGGAAATTTTATTTCAGTAATGATAATCGATTCACACAGAGAACGAAGCAAACTCAATCACAGCTGCAATATAAAAGCGCAACTTTGTAAGATTTAGTAATTGTTTTGTCTGCTCAGCTTAAAAAGGGTGGGAAAACTCAGGCTAGAGCATACCTTCAGATGCTAAGACCATTTCTCCCTCCCTAACTCTTTATGGAGAATTGCACTCTGGGTTGACGAAAATAAGCAGAATTTTTGCATTCTGATACCAACTACTGGCCAAATTCAGCAAGAAGCTGCAGGTTGGCTGCACTGTCCAGTTAGGGGCTGCTGGGTGCCAATCAGCAACATCTACTAAAGTTGTAAAGGCAAACATTCTGATGTTGAATCCCCCAGTCCCCAAGAGCCTTTGAAACTGTGAGACAGCCAAAGGTAGTGGAAAGAATCAATGCAAGTTAGCAATGCCTTGTGAGGATATTGCCAAAGAAACTTACATAAACATGCCAGCCTCCAAGATGCTTCGCCATATGTGTAGTCATTAATTAGAGAGGTAACCTGTGGCCTGACAGCTCGCATGAATAGCTCTAGCTCAGGCCTCTCCATAATACTATATCTAACTCATTTTTCCCTTTAGCTAACTCATTTTTAGAAGCAAATGATCTTTTTGTGTCAGCTTGCTGTGGGCCTCAGCATGTTCAAATGTTTCTGGTTATTAACATACCTGTAGACGCCCTCCACCAAGATGAGAATCTTTTTCCAAGCTCTGCGGGTTCGAGGCTGGCCGTAGATTATAGCATCTCTCAGGAGCTTCTCGAGGCTTTGCATGTCTTTAAATAATACCAAAAAAAA